ATCTTAATCATCTATAGCCCCCCTGTCCCCACTGGCACCATCTCATGGCCCCCACCCCTGAAATTCATACATTCTGTTATTTGTGTTAAGGCCTATCATGTCAAGTTAGTGTCCCCAGATATCCCTCAGTGCAAATTCATCCACTGAGATCTAGTCAGCCTATCTAGAGCTTTAAAAAAATATTTTTTATTAGTTCTTTGAGAATTTTATACAATGTATTTTTATTATATTCATAAAAACTCCTCCTTTTAACTCCTCACAGATCTGTCCCTCCTTCCCTGCCACCCCCCAACTTCATGTCCTCTAAGAAATTATTTAATAACCCATTGACCCTAATTTGTGCTGTCCATATTCTCCTGGGGGTGGGGCCATTCTCTAGAGCACGGTTGACTTACCAGGAGCCATACCCTTAAAGAAAACGCACTTTCCTTCCCCAAAGCCATCAGCTGTCCATAGCGTCTCAGTTAGGGGTGGGGGCTTAAAAACTCTTATCACTGCATGCTAGAATGCTGACTGGGTTGATCTTGTGCAGGACCTGTGCAGACAGCCACAGCTGCTGTGAGTTCATGAGTGTAGCAGTCTGTCATGTGCAGAGCCATGGGGAAAAGACCTCAGGTTTAAAAAAGATACTTATATAAATGTGTATTACAGCACTCAGCTCCTTGCATTTGGAAGAACATGAAAAATAAACTGAATGTTTTCTTTGTCACATGGAGCTCTGCTTTGTGATCCTTGTTGACTGATTTGGACTTTGGGGATTTTACATAACCTCTTTCTTCTGAAAACCGTTCAAAATGCCATGTAGTGTGAAGGCTGAGATCTTCCTTGACACAAAGAGCTTCCTGACCATCTAAGTTAACGCCCCATCCTGCCATCTTCCGCTTTGTTTCAGAGAGGGGCACTCCTCACTCTGACATTCTCTCTTTCATTTGGAAACACCTGTTTGCTTCTCTCCCCTTCACTGCAATGTTAAGCTCCCCTTGGGCAGGGCCTGTCTGTCCTGTTCAGCACAGCAACCCCAGCACAGCAGGTCCCCAGTAAGTATTTGTGGATTATAAAAATACTCTGGCAGGCCTCTAGGAAGCATCTGAGTAAAAGGAACTGGGATAAGGCCTCTGAGAAGGAGGTCTTTACTTCTCACGAGCTATGGTTTGTTATGGTGTGACTCTCAAGGTATCAAGCCCTGGGAGCCTAGCCTCCAGTGTGGTGTTGGTGTTGAGAAATGGTAGGACCTTTAAGAGTCAGGGCCCAGTGGGAGGTGGCAAGACTGACCCCTCCCTCTTATGCCGGCTTCTTGTTTCTCCTGTGATTGCTCTTTCTCCCAGGCACTTCAGCCACTGGGGTATCATCCACCTTACAGACAGAAGGGCCCTTGTCAAAGCTGGTGCTGTGCTGTTTGTACCTTCTGTCTCTTTCATTAAGAGTTCGGTATGCCTCAGGTACTTCCATACAGATATGACATACAGGATCACAGCATGCCTGTCAGATGTGTTCCATCCCTCTGCCTGGGGCTCTCAGGTCCCGTGTCCCAGCTTCTTGGTCTCCCCAGAGCTGTTCCCATCAGTCTGTATCTCTGAGGTGCTCAGGGTTGTGCCCAGGGCTATGCCAAGCCCTTTGTGTGCATTTCCTTATGTAATCCCCTATCGGCCCCACAGAGGAGATACCATTCCTTCTGGGACACTCCCAGGAAGGGAGGAGGCTTACAGAACTGAGGTCTACATGGGAGTAGGGGCATGTATCGGGGGGTGCTCACTGTGCTCCTGTCCTCCCTTGTCAGAGCCACTCCCCTTCTGAATCAACAGTGACTGTGATGGTGGCAATCTCAAATCAGAGGGAGGAAAACTGTCACTAGTGAGGCCAGTGAGGGAGAAGCACTGAGGATGGTCGTCCCTGTCAAGCCCCTAGCTACCCTCTTCCACCAATGTTGGCTTGACACTTGAGTTCAAACAGAGATGATGTGGAAAGAGAAGCAAAGCCAGAGATGCAACAGCTGCAAGTCTGGACTGCCTTGATTTTCTCAGTGAAGTAGGAGTGGTAAGGTAGAGGAGGAGAGGTGGAGAGGGCTGGAGGACCAGCCACTGTTTAGCAGGCTGGAAGGGAGGCAGTGACAGTGGCTGATAAATAGACAGATCAGGCCTTTGAGTCTGGGTGTTTCTAGACTAGGCTGTGCTTTGCCCAGCTAGATAAAATACAAACAAGTTAGGTTTGGGAAAAAATGTGTTTTCAAGAATCAAAGCAAGGGGCTGTGGCTGTAACTCAGTTGGCAGCGTGCTTACGTAGCATGCACAAAGCCCTGGGTTCCATCCCTAGCGCCTCATGAACTGGTGTGGTGGTGTATTTTTTGGGATAAGAATTTCAAGGTCATTCTCTGTTCTGTAGAGAATTCAAGGCCAGTCTCGGCTGTACCAAACTCCATCTAAAAGGAAACCAGAGAGCGGAAGGAATCACAGCTCAGGAATCACTGAAGCTGTGACAACCAGGCAAACACTGCAGAGGTTTCCCCAGGGTGCTGCTGTGCCCTAACCCACTGCCAGCTGTGTGTCTGCATCTTGGCCCACTTTCTCTTTGTTCTCTGCCTCCTTCCTGTGTCTGTTAAACCTGGATCAATGGCCACCCATCTCTCCTGCATTTGAACAAGTCAGGCTACATGTTAGATGAGGCCCTTGGATTCTGGGAATTCTACATTTACTGACTTACAGGTAGATCCCTTAAAAAGAAAGTATGAACTCTGGGCTCCTCCCAGAGGAGTGAGGACCATGGGAGCAGTCCAGGCTGGGAATTAGACCAGCGTCTCACTGCCGTCCACTCACCCCGCCTGTGTGGTTTGAAGTCCATAGGTGTTGGAATCAGAGCTTCCTCCTACATAAAATGAAGAGAGAGACTAGTAATTGCTCCTTTTGTTTTAGGATCTTTTCAGTTATGAAGCGGCTGAATCCCTGGGTTAGCCCACACACCAGGCTCACTCCAACCCAGGCTTTCTTGTTTATTTTCAACTCACATATGTGGTTCTTGCACAAAATAAATAACTACATAAACATCTCCCACTTGTTCTGTAGAAAGCACAGGTAACAGTAATAAACTCACCATATAAAAATAGGTCAGCACACTATTGATATTATTGAAATGGACATTTCCTAGGGGAGTGTGGCTAGGAAAAGAAAAACTGTTTTGAAAACAAGATTGTGGCACATGGATCTGACACAGGGCCACGCAGCATTTCAGGGCAGGTGTTGGGCCTTCTGATCAGTGCACTTTCTCCTCTCTTCGAGCCCCATCCAGGTGTGACTGCCCTTCCCCATCCGTCTCTCCCAAACCAGTTGTGTCAGGTTTCTTCCTCTTAGATCCATCCATGCTTGCTCTCGGTGGGGTTCTGGTAACCCTAGCTTATTTTCTGTGGCTCCCTCCCCCACCAGCTATGGCATCGCTGGCTCAACCAATGTGACAGGGGATCAAGTGAAGAAGCTGGATGTCCTCTCCAACGACCTGGTCACCAACATGTTGAAGTCGTCCTTCTCCACCTGTGTTCTTGTGTCTGAAGAGGATAAACACGCCATCATAGTAGAACCCGAGAAGAGGGTGGGTCTGTGCTGGCAGTGCTGAATGTTTCCATGCAGCCGTTTTCCTTCTCAGCTGTGTGGATAACTTGTTTCTCCAAGCTAGTGTTCTAGTGTGCACTGTAGCTCCCTCCTGCTGCCTTCCTATCCCATCTCAAACCTATCTCCCCTCTCTGCTGTCCCAATGACTCCATCTCTCCTCTGATGCGTCTCCATTCCTGAGTTGTTGCTGCTTTCAAGGCTCTTCAAAGCCTGACTTCTGTTAACTGCCTTTTCTACTGATCTCCATCAACACCAAATCTCCAACCTTCATGCTAGACCCCACTGCCATGCTGAGCTGCTCCCAGTTTCCATGTCTAGTTCATGCATTGGGATCCACTGGAGGTCAGGCTGCTGCTTTAGGGCAGAGACTAATGATATTCCCCATGTCCTAGAATCTAGCTCCATGCCTGGCATGCAGAAGGGCTCAGCAACAAATAACTACTAGGAAAGACTGTTAAATGAGAGTGTTTACCCAGCTTTTATAAGAAAACAGCAACTTAAGAGATCAGAAGGAAAGCCATATGGGCTCACTGTCTTTTCTGACTGAGATGAACTGGGGACATGGCAGAGTATACAGGAAAGAAAATCAAAGTAATTAGCATGCTGCTTGTGTTGACCTCGGTAAGGACAGGAGCCACCCTGAGCAGCTTGCTCTGCTTCATGCCTACGTATCACTACATGCTGTATTCAAAGTCCAGGCTTCTCTACAGTTGCTCGACTTCCCTGTCAGTGTTAAACATTCTCCAGCAGCTGTGCCCTTCCCCTGGCTGTGACATGCTCTCACAGGAGCCCCAGTTTTGTTTTCCAATCTACAGCTTCTCCTACATCTGTAGAGGTTATTTCTTAAGAAACTGTCAGAGAATCTACTGAATTTGGGCCAGAACATCTAAAAACAACAAAAAACATTTGTACTTTCATTTCTCTTCAGTGTGTATAAATCGTTTGCCTTAAGAAAACCACATTTAAAGAGGCTAAATCAGAGATGGAAAATTCTCAGTGATGTGCTGGAACTGGCTCTAAAAAAATCTGAATTGCTGTACTTACCAAACTCAGTGGTATAAAAGTTGAAACTGTAGATCATACAGTATCAACATGCTGCACCCTATCAACATGGTACATACTATCAACATGCTGCACACTATCAACATGGTACACAGTATCAACATGCCGCACACTATCAACAAGGTGGGATACTATCAACATGCTGCACACAATCAATGTGATGCACACTATCAACGTGATGTACACTTTCAACATGGCACACACTATCGACTTGGTGAACACTGTCAACATGACAGCACACTATCAACATGGTGTACACTGTCAACATGATACTATCAACATGGTGCACACTATCAACAAGCAGGATACTGTCAACATGGTGTACACTGTCAACATGGTGTACATTATCAATGTGATGCACACTATCAACATGATACATACTATAAACATGGTGGCACACTATCAACATGACACCACTGATACAGTTTGCAAGAGACATGCTCAACTCAGAGCCAGATCTAACCAGCTCAAGAATTCCACGGACACTTCCATTCAAAGGATGAAGCTTTCCTTCTACCACAACAGAGGCCTGTTTCCTTAATGACCTATAATAGGGACATTGTTGAGAAGGCTGTGCACTTCAATGTGATGGAGCACCTACCAAACCTGAGTGACAAGTTTCTTACAGATCTAAGTGCTAGGAAAATCCTTCTCCTAAGGAATTCTTTCTTTCCTTAACAGAGAGAAATAAATGACTAATTTTATTTCTCTTTTTCCTTTGACTGCCAGTACACTCTCAAACCAAAATTATGATTCAGTTATTGCAATGATATAAGAAATTATGATTTGATTATCTGTGTTCATCACCTTCTATGCTTCCTATTGTAAATGATGCTTTGTCTGCATGGTGATCTTCTACCCACCTACCCACCATCTTCTCATGTCTTCTCTGGTAGAATATAAGTAAGACCCACATTTTTTTACTTTACCTTTAGAGTCCCATTTTTTTTTTTTTTTTTTTTTTTCTTTTTAGTACATTTTTTTTTTTTTTTTTTTTTTTTTTTTTTTCTCGGGGAAAAATTGTGTTTTTTTTTTACTGCTTAGTACATACTTTATATTCTTGTATTTTTTTTTCTTTTCTCAGGGAAAATATGTGGTCTGTTTTGACCCCCTTGATGGTTCCTCCAACATCGACTGTCTTGTGTCCATTGGAACCATTTTTGGCATCTATAGAAAGGTAAAGTGTGGATATGGAGCACCTGGTTTTGATCAGAAAGAAAAAGTAGAACATGAAACTGTGAGGCTTGGATAGATTCATATCAAGTTCTGATTTCCCAGCATTTACTGTGTAAGAAAGAGTAACAGAGCTACTGAAAGATAGTTGTGAACTGTGGATGGAAATATAGGTTATTTCACTCTTTTAGCTGGTTTTTGTTTGTTTGTTTGTTTTGTTTTTGTTTTTGTTTGTTTTGAGACAGGGTCTCCCTGTACTCCAGTTGTCCTGGAACTCACTATGTAGACCAGGCTGGCCTTGAACTCACAGAGATCCGCCTGCCTCTGCCTCCCAAGTGCTGGGATTAAAGGTGTGCACCACCATGCCCGGCTAGCTGTATCTTTTTTTAACAACAGAAAATTATGGGGCTGGAGAGACGGTTCAGTGGTTAAGAGCACTGGCTGCTCTTGCAGAGGCCCCAGATTTTGTTCCTAGTATCTACATTGCGGCTGACAACTATCCATTACTCCAGTTCCATGGCAATTCAGTGCTCTCTTCTGACTTCTGTGGGCATTGCACAACATGGTTGTACTTACATATATGGAGGCAATATACCCATATGCATAAAATTAAAATAAATAAAAAAATTAAAAACAGTAGAAAATTAGCTTTAAAAATATGACAGGGCAGATATAGTAACAAAATTCCCTCAAACCAACCGAACCTGAAAGAGCAACTTGATCTGAATCCTAGAACGATTGGACTATATCTACAGTCTTGTCAATCATGTCTGTATGACAGAGCCACATGATGCACGTCTGTGCAATGAGGCCATATGGCTCTTGTCTGTATGGTGTGTTCACAGAGCCCAGCTTGCTCTCTGCAGAAATAGTTCTTGGCTGGAATTCAGCTTCTAGTGCACACGCTCAGGGGGAGAGCATCTATGACTGGGATCAGTTCTTCCATGATACCTGGAGAGAGGCTCTGAACGGACATTGGAGGGAATGTGGTCCAACGTTCCAGGCAGCTGTACCCAGGGCTTACCCAGCTTCATGGACACAGAGGCAGGTTTTCTGAGGGACGGAGCAACCAACATGGCTGTTTGTCCAGATATTGAGTCAAAACCTCCTGGTAATTAATACACATAGACATGTGTAGTATTAAAATCAGGGTAAGCATATCTTTCTCATCAAACATTTTATCATTTCTTTGTGATGAGGAAATTCAAAATTTTACTTTTTTTAAATATATGGTACATTCTCATTTTTTATAGTCACCTTACTATGCTGTAGGAGCCCAGGACCTTTTCTCCTATCCAGCTGGAGCTCATTACACTGCCTAGTCTGTTCCAACCTCTCCTTCCCTCACCACCCCTACTCGTTTGGTGACCACCATTCCCTCTAAAATTCTATGCGGTCAGCTTTAAAATGTGTGACAGTGAAAAAAAATCAGGCAGCCTCTGCTCTACTCTGTAATGACTCTGGAGAGATCCTGTAAATTCCCATATTTCTGAGAATTTCTTTGATGTGGCAGTAACGGACTGAATATGTTTTGATTGACAAGAGCTCACAAAATTGATTTCCCCACCAGATCTACTGCCCTGCAGCCCTGTTAATTTGTTTAAATAAAGATGGAGCAGGCAGGTAAAAGACATTGATGCCCATAATCAGGTTACATTCATGGAGCTCACAAGAAGGCATTCGGCTTTTTGGAAGTGATAATGGAGACCCGAAGCAATATCAAATTAGGATGATGTGGCTCGGAGGACCCTGGCTGGAAAAAGCATCCAGATGCAAGAGACTGGGAGTCTGGAGGGAAGGCTGCTATAGTAATGTAATTAGGATGCTGCTGCTATGGGGATGGAGGCCCTTGGGATGCTGTTCTCTCTCATTAGAAGAATATCTTGACCTGCATCCTGATGATGGTCGAACTGGAAAAAAAGGATCCAAAACAAAACAGAAACATGTTCTATTTTCTCTCTTGCTTTAGAAAACTACTGATGAGCCTTCTGAGAAGGATGCCCTGCAGTCAGGCCGGAACCTGGTGGCAGCTGGCTACGCCCTGTATGGCAGTGCTACCATGTTGGTCCTTGCCACAGAGAGTGGTGTTAACTGCTTCATGCTGGACCCGGTGAGAGATCTCTTAGGTTGGGTGCTTGGCCGGTGACTTTGAGCTGGTGTATGCTCTCTCTCTGTGTGTGTGTGTGTGTGTGTGTGTGTGTGTGTGTGCAGAAGTATACAGAGGTGGGCAAGAAGTCCAGTGGAGAGATAGAGAAATCTTTGCTGTGAAACAAATTCTTTAAATAATCATTGCTCCAATGACTTAGAAGCCCACATGCCCCAGCAGAGCATAGGGACAAGGGGAGTGTGCTAGAAAGGAGGTCAGGGGCCTGGGTGGAAACAAGGTGGACCAGAGAGGTCCAGAGATGATTTTAATTTTTTAAAAATCCTAACTAGTTTATTGGACTTGCTAGCAGATCATAGGGTGGGGGTTTATTTACAGAAGAGTGACCCCTCATTTATGGCTGTGCTGGAAAGTCCACACTCAAATATAGATCCTGCAACTTCCGGACGGGCAAGAGAGGTGCCTCATGGCCTTATCAGCTTATATATCCTTAGTCCCTCCCCCACATGCAGCTAAGTTGACTGATTGGGTGGGAGGGGTAACTGACTTCCCCCTCAACTCCAGTTAACACCAGTTAACCTCTGGTGCTTACATTCTTTCCATAAACCTCTTCTGCAAAAGTCCCTGAGCCTTGGGGGCAGGGGAGGGTGGTAGGTGTGGGATGATCTTCCTCCCATTGTGGCAAGGCATTGAATTTTTGGGTCTCTGCATCATCTGTTTTCCATGGGCTGTTGGCCCGTTTCAGTGGGATTCCAAAAACACAAACAGCAAGAAGCAAGAACAAGAGATGATTTTAAATTTTAATGGAAGCCTCGTCTTACAAATCTAACTGCTTTGAAATATGTGGTACGTTATCATTATTTATAGTCACCCTACTCTGTAACAGAATGCCAAACACTGGATTAAAGAATAGTATTTCTGGATGTGTAAAACAGTGTTTACTAACCTAGTTATGGGTCAGATGAACCCTGTGGACACTTGATTTCCCACTTCTCCATGCATTCTTAGCTTCTCTATCTTGTCACCAAGTTGTTTCCCTGAGGCTGATGGCATCCCAGTCGAGCAATGGATGCTACTCTGTAACAGAATGCCAAACACTGGATTAAAGAATAGTATTTCTGGATGTGTAAAACAGTGTTTACTAACCTAGTTATGGGTCAGATGAACCCTGTGGACACTTGATTTCCCACTTCTCCATGCATTCTTAGCTTCTCTATCTTGTCACCAAGTTGTTTCCCTGAGGCTGATGGCATCCCAGTCGAGCAATGGATGCTATAGTTTATTTGGTGGTGTTCTGTGCACAGTCCTTCAGTTAACCCTTGCAGTGTTCATTAGGCTCTTATGAATTCAGAAGAAAAGAATGTA